CCTTCCAAACGCTATATAATCGTAATGGTTTGGTGCTTTCCCTTGATAATTTCCTTCCCTTATTGACAGCTCTAACACTAAACATTTCTCTCTGGCGTCTCTGTGACTCGTTTGTGTCTCCAGTTTTCATTTCTGACCCTTCATTGCTGTTGTTGTTTTAGATTCAGCTCTCGGAACAAAAAGTTTCAAGTAGTGGACTTACCTGGCACAGGAGCGGGGCTGTAACTGTCACTCTTCGTTCTGCTGATCATAGCTTTGAACAATGATGATTTGTCTAGCTCATCACATTCCTTTAGAATCCTATATGTTGTTAACATGTCTTCCCTTATCTTGAATTTCCTTCAGTGTGGTAAGGTCCAGTTTACTCAGTCTCTCCTCATAGCTCAATCCCTTCAGCTAAGGAATGAGCCTCATCGTATATTTTATGACCTTTTTCTAGTTTTACTCAGTCCTTTTCTTGGTAAGGATTCCAGGTTGAGTCTCACCTTCGCTGTATGTAGGGTCCATAAACCCCCTTTGTTCACGTGACTGGAGGATACATGGATGTTGGCCATATGCAGCTGTTGTTATTATGCTAATGTGTTCTTCTGGCATTATGAGGTCTGGGGTTATGTCCACTCCCAGGTTTTTCTCCGTTACTGATTGAAGAAACTGCCTTCTCTTCATTCTATATTGCTATGCTGGTATTTATACATGAGTTCTAAGCCTTATTAAATTGCACTTGTCTGGGTTTAATTCTAGCAGCCAGTTTTTTCTGGCAACTTTTGGAGCTTCCAAATCCGTTTGCAATGCCTCACTATCTGCCCTGACTCTTCTCGTTAGTTTGGCCTCACCTGCAAGTATGGGCATTAAGGAGCCAATTTCCTCCATCAGGTTGTTGACATATATTAGACAAGGTACCCGGGCATACATAACGTGGTTGTTGTAACGAGGTTATTCACACGTGCAGCTCCCGAGCATACATGACGTGGTTGTTATAACGAGGCTATACACACTTGTAGCTCCTGGGCATGCATAACATAGCGAGGCCATACACACTCCCAACTCCCGGGAATAAATAACGACATTGTTATAACGAGGCTATACACATTGCAAAATCCGGGCATACGTAACTTGGTTGTTATAACGAGACTACAGACACTTGCAGCTTCCTGGCCAACATAATGATGTTATAGCGAGGGTAAACACACTTGCAGCTTCCAGGCCAACATAACGTAGTTGTTATAATGAGGCAATACACACGTGCAACTCCCGGACATTTATAACGATATTGTTATGACGAGGCTATACCCACTTGGAGCTCCCGGGCATACATAGCAATGTTGTTATAACGAGGCTATACACACTTGCAACTCTCGGGCATACATAACATTGTTATTATAACGAGGTGTTACGGCCACTTAGGGCCTGTAACTGGGATGTTGCTGTTATGACCTCTTTTACCGTATCCAACCCATATCGCTGGTAAGCTTTCAGGAACTGGCTGTATCAAGTAGTAGTGCAATGAATAAGTAGGGAGGGGGTGAGGGGGGAATAAGCAATACACAATTCCCTTCACTAATTATATATATATATATATATATATATATATATATATATATATATATATATATATATATATATATATATATATATATATATATATATATTAATATTAAAGTATAACTACACCTTTGTATAATGTTTCTTTCACCCAGGACACAACCCAACGACAGTATTCATTAAGCCCAGTGAATCCACATTCCAGGTACACGTTGTCCACTCGTACTGGCAAACACTGGCGAGTTCACCTTCTACCTGGGCCAGTCCACCCACACAGCATCACGGTATGCCTACACCCCACCTTTGCTCTCCAGATACTCACTGACAGAGGGCTTCAGCAACACGCTGACAGAGGGCTTCAGCAACACGCTGACAGAGGGCTTCAGCAACACGCTGACAGAGGGCTTCAGCAACACGCTGACAGAGGGCTTCAGCAACACGCTGACAGAGGGCTTCAGCAACACGCTGACAGGGGTCCCAAACTAACACATACCGGGGTAGCTAACACCCTGGCAGAACCCTCTAGCAGCTTGCTAGCAGCACTTCACAATAGACACATCACTGTCTTCCCCAACTCTTACGAGCCAATCCCGAGTACATCGATCTTTAAAAACACTGCATTATATCAGCAACTAACACACACTGCTCTGATCGATGGCGGCTACTTAATCCTCTCGCAGGACCAAGCTAAGAGTTCGTGGACTGCCCAAGGTGAACTGCCCTCCTCAGCTCAATTGCCTCCCTATGTCACCTCTGTGGACATTAAAACATCATTAGCCAGATGGACAGTACACTGAGTAACCTTGGGATAACACTCGTCCACCGGGGAATTGATATTGTGAGTTGTAGCCACAGCCTAGATGGCGCTGATCTTGATACGCCACCTATCAGAGGTCATCGTCATCGACCTCACATTCTGACTGAGGCAGGAAACATGAGCCATTCACCGCTGCCACTCCACCACCAACAGATGGCGTTGTCCAAGTTGCACGAAATACTGGGGAGTTGGAGTGCAGGGGCCAGATTCACAAGGGTACTTACGAAGGTTTTTCTTCTTAGCTACAAATGTTTTCCTTCTTAGCGCCTTCGTGGTGGTTACGTTGGTATTCAGGTAGCTACACTAAGTAGAAAAACCTTCTTAAGTTTGGTCCGGCATCTAAGTGTAGTGTCGACCACTCGTAGCTTTACGCAAACTGCATATAACTCAATTTTTCTCAACTACATAACACTGGGATCGATTTTAGATTTTGGAACATAAACAAAACATTATAGCTATTAAATGTCTTGAAGAGGAGTCCTTCGTGTTAGTTATATATGCATTCTCTGCTTGAAACTTTAAGTAAATATGTCTTCTATGATATTAGAATTAGTTTTATAATAACAAGGTATTATACCAGTACTTATTTAAAAAAACACTGGTGAACATGAAATATGAGAGGTGATGAGACCTGCCTGATGGGATCATTTACTATCACCAAATGCTCCTGTTCACCTAGTAGTAAGGGTGTACCTTAGCTATACATACCCATTTGTAATTGATTTAGTTTGGTTTTATTTTTAAATTAAGTCTGGGTGAGACATAAAATAAAAATATGCTGCACAAATGATGTTAGGTAAAGAGAAGGGTAAAAATGTCAAAAACTTTATTCATTGAATTCTTAAAGCTACAATTATGACTATATAGACTATTAAAAGAGAGAGAGAGGGAAGTAGGGGTCCAAGACTTCTTCCTGTTACACAACTTGGGTGTGGAACAAGTAATTATCAAAAGAAGGCACCATGCCGGGAAGGCTATGTAGCAGTAAGGCAGTGAGGTACGTATTTGAGAAATGCTCATTTTATTTACCTTATAAGCTGAGGCAGCTTATTTTATTTGAGGAATACTCAGCTGATTCCTTTACATTTAGCATAGAACAAATCTGTGTCCAAGACCCCTTCTTGTTACACAATTTGGCTGTGTGTAACCAAACTAGAAGTGCTCTACAAATCAAGGGACCCAGAATGTGGAATGACCTCCCGAATCATGTCAAAGGCTGTACCTCTCTCAACCAGTTTAAGAGTAAACCAAGTACTACCTAATTAACTCCATGTAACCTACCTTACCCCCTAAATGTCAACCCATGTCTTGGTATTTTTTAAACAATGCTGTTCACCAACGTGTACAATTGCTGATATCATACATCCACAGGTATCTATACCTGTGGATGTATGATATGGATGGATTTTGTTCCTGTGGGCCCTCCTTAACCACTTCTCATATCCGCATACTCCATCCTCCTATTGGTTATGATGGATAGGTTAGGTTAGTGTTGCTTTGTCCATTGTGTTTGTCATAGTTGGCCACTCTCAAGGTTACGTTTGGGTTGGTCGGTTCCTATGCAGGTTTCTCTCCAGGGTTAAGCTACCTCTGATAAGGTCGCCCTTACGAGGTAGTCCTTCAGGGACTTGCTTCGTTTCCAAGCTATCAAAGTGAGGGGGGGGTGCTTGTGCACAGCTACCCCAGGAATGGGTGTTCCCTGTAGTTGTCCTTGAATCACACCTGTACCCCTGCCATTTTGTTCTTGAGGGGGGCCTGAAAGTCCTGGGAAGAAAAGGGTCGCAGGATTCGTCTCAAATCGTTCGTTCGATTGCGGTACTGTCGGGAGGAGTAGCTCCGCCCTTCGTTTAGTACCTAGTTTCTCTCATGCTGACTGCATTAATTATCTTGCCAGATAGCTGCGGTCCCTAAACATCCGCCATACGTCCTCCAGCTGGGGCCGCAAAGTCTCTTTTTGCTATTGATTCTCTTTAGCAAAAGACCTAGAAAATAGGGTAAGGATTTTTTTTAATCTAGAGGGTGATTCTAGTCGAACCGCAGATAGGAGAAGGTTCGTTGGTTTATAAAATAATTTTGTGTGGAGGAGTCGGTCTGCCTCTCCTACATACACCGTCATGTCTAAGAAGTTTATTTCTGAGTTGCTTCTCTCCAGAGTGAATTTCAGGTTACCGTGGGCTGTATTGGCCCTATGTGAAGAAGGCTTGTAGGCGATCTCCTTTATCTGTCATTAATCCGAAAATATCGTCAATGTATCTGAAATACACTAATGGGCTGTCTTCCCTTTGGATTCAAAATCCATTCTCTTCCATTCAAAGGCGACATGAACGAAAATTTCAGCAATCGCCACACTCTTTGAGGCCCCTATCGCTGTCCCTTTTGTTTGGCGATACGTTGTTCCGTTGAACTCCAGGATGGTGTCTCTCGTCACATGGAGAATGGCTTCCTCAAGTAGTTCCTTTGACGTCGTCCTCCAGACTCCTGCTTCCCGTAGTTCCGTTGTGTATTTGTTTTCCTCTAAGAATGCCGTAACCGTTTTGATGGCTACCCTCTGTGGAATGCTCGAGTAGAGCGAAACTACAGCCATAGGAAAAGGGATTATATCTTTTGGTACAGGGCCTCATTCCTTGTTCACCTGGTTTACCTTGTTCAGGAAATCCGTAGTGTCTCCTAGCCTCTCGTGCAGGAGTTTGAGGAGGGGTTTCAGGAGCGCTGTGCAGATCCAGTCCAAAGTTCTCACATGGGTTCTGCAGCTGCTGAATAATGGTCTTCCCTGCCATGTTCCCGTATCTGCTAGGATTTCGTCATCGTCTGGGTTTAGGAGTACTGATCTAGCTACCCGGACTGCTTCTGGCTGCTCAGGGTCTAGTGCCCTAACCACTGCATCCTTTTGGTTCTGTATAGTTCCTTCTGGTGGGTTAGTGATAAAATCAGCGTACCTATGTGAGACCTGGCTTGGTCGGGTAATCGGACTCCTATTAAAGGGTGTGCATGGGTTACCTTGCTTTGGTGCTGTTTTCCTCCTGAATACTTCCCACAGTGCTGCTCCTATCCTGTTCCCCGGCCAACTTCAGGTTTGAAGTTGATCGACAATGAGTTCTATCATGCTGAGTTCCCTTGTGTGGGAAGCTTTCAGCAGGTGGCCATAGAGTGACATCGAGGTTTTCGCATGGTTCTTATTTATCACTTTTATGACCCCGTTTAATGCTGGCAGAAGCCGCTGGGAGGCCTGTCAAAAAGAAATGAAAACATACCTGCAGTACCAGATAATCTGGAACTGTGCCCAACATAACCGAGCACTGGATTTGACCTATGCTTTCACTTAGATACTCCAGGGTCGTAAAGATCGGTTTCACCAATGCTGTGATCTCCACGTCCTCGGGTTTGGCGTAGGTTGTGCCTCAGAGGGGCTCAGTACTCAGAATTTTTTGGACTAATTTTGCAAGGGTCCCCACTGGGCGGAGGTCCTTCTTGGGTGGGCAAAAGGTAGATGTATATTGACTAATAAGCCTGCCTCTGTCCAAATCTTCTTGTCTTTCCAAATACCATGAAGGGTATTTAGAGGGACTGTGGGTCTATCCACCTACGTGTTCACTAAATGTTGACCAGACCACACACTAGAAATTGAAGGGACGACGACGTTTCGGTCCGTCCTGGACCATTCTCAAGTCGATTCTGTTCACTAAATATTGCAGAATACTTGCATCCCAGTCGTCTGCCGGGAAAGACCCATATGTGTCTACTAGCGTTGCTGTCAGGGGGGAGGGAGGTCCTGCAATGTGTTGTTTTCATGGTCTAATCGGGGTGGCCAGGGGTCTTTGAGGGGTCTCACCGCCCATGAGGGTAAAGGTTCATTCGCTGAGTGTTTCCTAGTTCTCTTTGCTCTTGTAGGATCTGTTTCTACGGTCACCATTTGTTCGGCTTCACAACCCATCTTCCTATCACTCACACTACCACAGTATCGCCCAAGGTTTAACAGTAATACACAATTGTTTAAGTATATCCACCCTTTTTGGTTTATCTGTGTGTGGGGAAGGAAGAACAGAAAGCTTATCTCAGTACTTTTGGATACAGAGAAAAAGCTTATCTTGCCGGTGTTTTTCCGTTTACGACATTACACCCTGGTCACAGGAGAGGAATATCGTATAGGAAAAAAGGAAATCCGGGACAGTCGGACTGTTTCGTGGGACTTATAGGAGTAGGGTCCACTACTCCTACAGGTGGTGTTTGCAGAGTTGTGTGTGAGGTTATTCACACGGGCATACATAAAGTAGATGTTATACCAAGGCAATACACACTTGCAACTCTCGGACATACATAACGTTGTTGTTATAATGAGGCTATACACACTTGCAACACCCGTGCATACATAACGTGGTTGGTATAACGAGGCTATACACACTTGCAGCTTCCGGGCATACATAACATTGTTGTTATAACGAGACAATATTATGAACAAATCCACGAGGGCCGTGACGAGGATTCGTTCATTTGATGCATCACACTATTGTGATTTCTGTGTGAGACAATATTATCATTTCAATAATGGAAGGTGTTGTGAAGGAACTGATGAACCTAGTTGGAGCTCTGAGAGCAGAGATGGATTCCTTATGGGAGGAGGTACGACAGGATAAACAACATCGAGATGAAACGAATGAGGAGACCATTATTAAAAAGACCTCGTCGTGGGAAGTCGTAAAGGACAGGGGTCTTGAGAAGACCTTGACAAGGCTGCCTACAGACGCCCTAAGGACTTCAAATTCATTTGTCGTGTTGGAAGACGAATGCTGTGGAGAGCCTGCAGTTCACTCGAAAGGGAAATCAATGAAGAGCAACGAAGCGCAGGCCCCTCAAAGTGTTCAGAAAGAAAAGGAGGCACCTAAGCAAATTTTAGTTGTGGGAGATTCCCAGGGAAGGTGTTTAGACAGAACGTTTTGTGCTAGAGATAGGGGGGGAACAGGTTAAGGGTTTGCTATCCGGGAGCTGGAATTGATGATATTATAAACAACATGAATGATATTTTGGCTGGAAATGGGAACAATCCCATTATTTGTATTAGCACAGGAGGAAATGGTGTTGGTCGAGTTAGGAGTGAGGAACTGATTCAGAAGTATAAATAAGCCATAGAATTAGGAGCAAAGGAGGAATCCCGATCATATGTGGTATTCTTCCAAGAAAGGAAGTTGAAAATAAATGGTTGTCGAGGGCACTTGGTGTCAATTGCCGGCTGGAAAGATATTGCAAATCAAATGCAATATCTTTCACGGATAACTGGGAACACTTCTATGGAAGAAATGAAATGTATGCTCGGGATGTGGTGCATCTATCGAGGGCTGGGGTTGTTGTTGTTGCGAACTCGTTGGAACCAGTGGTTGGAGGCGTTTGTTTGGGTTTAAACTGTTAATTGATAGGGGTATGGGAATTGATATGGAGGAAGGAGGTAATAAAAGTATGTGTTTGTGGGAGAAAGAAATTGGCAAAATGATCAGGAAAAGAGAAGAGCTTCAAAATAACAATACACTTAGGGTATATTACACTAACAGTAGATGTCAAAGAAACAAAATAAATGAATTAAATGTTCTTGTCTCTACAGAAAAAATAGATATTATTGCACTTACCGAAACGTGGATGAATGTAGAAAATAGAGAATTATTAGCTGAATATCAGATAAATGGATTTAAACTATTTCACACAGATAGATATATTAGACGAGGAGGGGGAGTAGCCATATATGTTAGGGACAATTTGAAATATAGTCTCAAAGAGGGAATCAAAACTGAGCCACACACAGAATCTATTTGGATAGAATTATACGAAAAAGCAAACAATCTTATAATAGGAGTTAGGCCACCAAATTTAGACAGAATGGAAGCAAATCATCTATGGGATAAAATATCTGGAGCATCTAAATCTAATAGTATTTATGTCATGGGTGACTTTAATTTTAGTGAAATAAACTGGATTAACAGAACAAGGAATAACGAAGCAGAAGATTTTCTAGAATTAATTGACGATTGCTTTCTTACACAACACATTAAGGAACCAACGCGGGAAAATAATATTTTAGATTTAGTGTTAACTAACAGGGAAACACATATTTGTGACATCAAAATTGGGAGTGTACTAGGGAACAGTGATCACAAAGAAATCAGATTTAGCATAGAATGAAATAGATCTGTAGGAGAAAAATCTGTCAAAGTTCCAGATTTTGGTAAAGCTAATCTTACTATCCTAAGAAATTGTTTGAGTCAAATAGATAAGAACATAAGAAGAACATAAGAACAAAGGTAACTGCAGAAGGCCTATTGGCCCATACGAGGCAGCTCCTATTCTATAATCACCCAATCCCACTCATATACTTGTCCAACCCGTGCTTGAAACAATCGAGGGCCCCCACCTCCACAATGTTACGCGGCAATTGGTTCCACAAATCAACAACCCTGTTACTGAACCAGTATTTACCCAAGTCTTTCCTAAATCTAAACTTATCCAATTTATATCCATTGTTTCGTGTTCTGTCCTGTGTTGATACTTTTAATACCCTATTAATATCCCCCCGGTTATGTCCATTCATCCACTTGTAAACCTCTATCATGTCACCCCTAACTCTTCGCCTTTCCAGTGAATGCAACTTAAGCTTTGTTAATCTTTCTTCATATGAAAGATTTCTAATTTGGGGAATTAACTTAGTCATCCTACGCTGGACACGTTCAAGTGAATTTATATCCATTCTATAGTATGGCGACCAAAACTGAACTGCATAATCTAAATGGGGCCTAACTAGAGCAAGATATAGCTTGAGAACCACACCAGGTGTCTTGTTACTAACGCTGCGATTAATAAATCCAAGTGTCCGATTTGCCTTATTACGAACATTTATGCATTGATCCTTTTGTTTTAAATTCTTACTAATCATAACTCCCAGATCCCTTTCGCAATCCGACTTCGCAATCACAACACCATCTAGCTCGTATCTTGTAACTCTATCATCATTACCTAACCTCAGAACTTTACATTTATCAGCATTAAACTGCATCTGCCAATCCTTTGACCATTTCAAAACCCTATCTAGATCAACTTGAAGTGATAGTGAGTCCTCCTCCGAATTAATTTCCCTACCGATTTTCGTATCATCGGCAAATTTGCAAATGTTGCTACTCAAACCTGAATCTAAATCATTTATATATATTATAAACAACAGAGGTCCCAGGACAGAGCCTTGAGGCACTCCACTTACAACATTTTCCCACTCTGACTTGATTCCATTTATACTAACTCTCTGTTTCCTTTGGTATAGCCATGCCCTAATCCAGCTTAATATAGCACCCCCAATACCATGAGACTATTTTTTTAATCAGTCTTTCATGTGGCACTGTATCAAAGGCTTTGCTAAAGTCAAGGTATACAACATCGCAATCCTTACCACTATCAACTGCCTCAACAATGCTAGAATAAAAAGATAACAAATTTGTTAAACATGAACGGCCATTTATAAAACCATGTTGCGACTCAATTATTAATTTATGTTTTTCAAGATGAAGACGAATTTTATTTGCTATTATAGATTCGAGTAACTTTCCCACAATAGACGTTAGGCTAATTGGTCGATAGTTAGACGCAAGTGATCTATCTCCTTTCTTAAAAACTGGTATCACATTAGCAACTTTCCAAAACTCTGGCACTCTGCCTGACTCTATTGATTTATTAAATATGGTTGACAGTGGGTCACAAAGCTCCTCTTTGCATTCTTTAAGCACCCTAGCAAACACTTCATCCGGCC